AAATCTAGAGATTCGGCAAGTTTCGTGTACCCTTTTTATAGGTACCACCGAGTGAGGTTACTTTGGCCTAAAATATGTAAATTTCAAAGTTTATGGAGTTTTATGGAGAAAAATGAAAAATTAAACTGTTGTAGTTTGTTTGTTTATGGATAATTTTTATCAAATTTGGCAAATTTATTAATTTGATCCGATGCTATAAAAATGTGAGAAAAAAACTATCTACCTCCCCCGTGAAATCAAATCTAGGTACTCGTTAAATATATAACATAGGTATGCCATAAGTTGTACAATTTTGCATATCCTTGCCCAATATGATTTGCACCTATGGTATCATCATTAGAAAGATAATTTAAGTGATCTTTGTGGAGAGAGCAGTAAACACTATTAGGCCTCTTTAAACCAGAAGCTACATTGTCGTCATGTTGAGAGTAAAAAGTATTATTTAAGTATATGAGACCCGCTTAGCTTGAGTATATCCCGTACATCTTTCTTCTTTTCCTCAAATGTGCGTTTCATTTTTAAGTCTTTGATGTTTTGCGGAGTTTCTGGCATTGATTTTGTAGGCTAGCCTCTTCAACAAACATCATATCATATTATGCATTCCTTGACGTTTCCCATCATGTGTATGTGTCTGCCAACGCCAAGAGGTCAATGCGAGGAATGTTGATGTTGATGTTGATGTTGGTGTGACGGTAGAATAACAATCAGTCATTCACGACACAGAGCATAGCACAAGTTATAGTATAGTGGTTGTTGGCTGTCGCTACATAGCTTAGTCTTACTATATGCTCTCCATACCTATACACTAGATACCTTGGTTTGGTCTCTATTTTAGCTACGCCTACTTTTAAACATTACAGTCAACATACAAGATAAAAACCAAGCGTGTTCTTTAAAGTGCGACCTTTACTGTATTTTACTACTGTACAAACCCCATAAAGATTTATTCAGCATTCAGCGTCAAGGTTAATGCACATTTACTACAAATAACAACGGAAACCAGACCAACCGAAATGCAAATATTATAGTATAAATTATAAGCGGCAGCTTTGGAGGAATTACAGGTTAATTAAAATATTCATATTTAAAACATGGCTGATAGTAGCACATAAGATGACAATCATACTATACTTAACCAAACAAAAATACGTGTGGAACTGTTCTCTGTCAAATTTTATGTAACCTCATAAAGCCTGCATCAAGGCAAGGCCAGTTATACAGTTAATACAGTTAAATAATGTATAAAATATTTTAGAATGCATCAATAGATTGTTTACTTGCATTAGCGTAAACGTTTATAGTTTATAACCTATTATTTAAGGTAAGTTAGGGTAAAAAAACTTAAAATTGTACACCGTACACTTTTAGAGATAGTTACAGTTGTGTAGAAATAGTTAAAGCAATTGCATTGCTTTCAGACTTGCAAACTAAGATCGAAGTTCTATATTCCATCCTGGATTGATAATATTAGGACCAAAGCAATAAAGATTGAAATCTTTGATGTATGATTAACATAAAATATATTGATTATGATTAGCATTGAATATGATTGAATATGAATATGGTTGAATATGAATATGATTGAATATGAATATGGTTAAATATGGTTAGCATGTATAATTAACTTTTAACTGCATCATAGGCCTATACAACACATAGTTTTTCCATAGAAAATATATAGTCTACACAAGTTCTAATTTATAAAAACAAGGTAATTGACCGTCCGAAGTTTAAACAAAATGTAAACACATCGACTGGCTATCTGTGCTTTTTAACACATTGATCGTGTGCACGCATAGAGTAGCTGTTAGTAAACAATCACGTTTTTCAACAGCTGTTCCAAGTTTGTTGCCAGATGGCTGGTTATATCAGCTGATTCAATTGTTGCCTTATATAGACTCTACCTCGCCAGCACGTGTCTAGTGTTAGTGTAACACATTGTTGACAATTGAGTTTCTTTGTTTTGTTTTTTATTTTCATTGATGGTTATGACTCAGCCGATTTGTTGAGTTTACGTTTAGGGAGTGTCCTTAGAACAATAGGGATTTGTCACAAGGGCCGTTATTGAACGCATAACCGAGTGAAATACTCTTGTCCGTGTTTTACAACTGTAATTACGCTGTTGTGAAATGTCTATACATAATGTAGATGAAGGTCTTCTTGTTAAAGGTAAGACAGAATGTCTGAATGACGGAATGTCTATTATTTATAATAATCATTTGAAAATAAGTTTTTGTCACCAAGTTTTTGGGAGTGATGGTTCTTTCTTTAATCGTAGCTCCCTAATACATGTCTGAGTTAATAAGACTAGTTTTATGCGCAGTTCATTTTACATTACCACCTTACAACAATAGATATACAACAAAGGCGGGACTCTCAATATCAGATAAAAGTCCAAAGTTGATAATCTCGACAATCCAATTCAGAGTCTGGTGGCATGCTAGGAGCGAGGGTTGAATGGTCAAATAACACACCGGGGATTGGCGGCAAGTGTGATAGAAAGGGCGCGTAACTAACTTGTAACAGTTTCTGTCGTGTCTGATGGGAATTAAACCTTCACAGCCAGGTGCTAACATCGGCACGCCATTGGAGACACAGAAATGACCGCGGAAAGTGGGCCAACAGAAGCAATCGAGCCATCGACCTGTGGCAGTGGCTGGCTGTGGCGTGTACACTGTACAGATCAGCTGAGATACTGAACGATGACCGCTTCTTCCCGCCATAACTTACAACACTTCCGTGCTGCACTTCCCTTTTATTTTGTCAGTTTACAAAAGAATGGTAATTTACTTATTAGATAGATTAAAAATAAACATGATATCTGGAACGTGCTTGAAGATTTCAAAACGATAGATTATTTCGGAATATGACGAGGGGGAAGCTGGATCAAAAGTTCAGTTAATGCTAGTTGGTTTGATTTGCCATGCCATAGAACAATGCCATGCCATTCAGTTTGGTACAATAAAATAAGTTTAATATATTAAACTTATTTTAAGCTTTTAAGCTTTTAAGACCCCTTATTCTAAGCTCATATATTCTGCAGAGTAGGACCTGAGAAGGAACCGGATGAAAATGTAATTCATCTGGCCAAAACTCAATATTAACTTTTGAAATGGCTTGTGATTACCATAACACTAAATTATAAAGAACTTCTTTAAAACAATTAAGTCCTAAACAGTTATTAAGTGTGTATACAAACTTTTAGTTTCTCAATAAGTGATTAGAGACTCTTAAAAAAACTTTCAGAAAATAACACATTTGACATCATTATAAACCTCAATGATACCACACAAACAAATAGTCATACAGTATATTCACACAATAAATCGTTTTTTCGAATGTATCGTTACCAAATAGTGCGTATACACTTGTAAATAAACTATTAACGTCAAATATATGAGTTTATGAGATCAGTTAAAAGACCTAACTAACAATAACAATTGATAAACATACTAACCTGTCTAAGTTCGAACGCAAAAATGTTTTCCTTTTTGGTTTAATCTGTGCGTAACATTCATGAACACTTTATACTTTTATATACTTTATGTATAGCAATGTTTGCTAAACTCAACTCATAAACATGCTACGTACTTAGACGCGGCGGAACACCGATCTAGGGCAACGTAATTAATTCATATTGAAGGAAGGATAATTTAGCTCGATGGACTAGAAAAAGTTATTTTCGTGTCAACAAGATTGACTGTCAAAGATCGATAATGCATCGAGGCCACTGAAGCATCAAGTGTTTGTATTTCACTAGGCTACTACGTGAAGAAACAAGTCAACTACATTTATGTTGCAAGTTATATGTTTTAAAACTACAAATATCTTAGTTTTCCTATGTGCATGAATATCATTGGTCTTGTCATTAAGAACCATCGCGTGATGAACCTTAGAGTTGCAAGCGGTAGAGGACGATTAGATGCATTGCCCTTCTACCGTACATGGAAACACGACATCAAGAGGTTGTTTTGAATAATAAACTACAATTTTTGTTTCCAAGTTTTTTTTTTTTTAGTTTGTGATTTGACATGTACGAGCAAGCCTACGTCAACAGATTGGAATGCTGACAATGAAATGAACCATGCATTAGTATTTAGTATTACGTGTGGTGTATCTGTCATTTAGGATAGATGTCGGTACCTTTAATAAGTGGGCAATGAATTAGTATAAAAATCTCGCATTTAAATACCATGTTTCGATCCTAAGGAAAGATCAATTCAGTTCTCAGTCATTCCTGTCTTTGGTAATTTCTGACCGTCAATAGCAAAAGTTGAACTGACTCGGAAAAAATTTCAGTTCAACTCTCGTTTACAGAGAGGAATTAAGTTTTGTTTAATATTTTCAATTCTAATGCCTGTGCACTTCCAACCGTTAAATGAGGTAACATATGTCGGAACACAGTCGTTCCTTAAATATTATCTTGCCATTGCCGTTTGTCTAAATGCTTCAAAACTGTTTGGTTAACATTCTTGATTGAAATTAGGTATATCCATTGACTATTATCTCAAACATACATCATATATCTCAAACGCACAGTATAGTTTTCTAGGTTACAATAGTATGTCTCTAATCTTACTACTGTAGTATCTACATGTAACAACACACTACTAGTAGTCATCCCCTCAAGTAAGCATTTTGCTATCCTTGCTATCACACTTCTTGGCCCTAGATAAGCTAGTTACCCTTATCTTCGATCCGACATCTTCTCTTAGACAATCGTTCCTTACTCTTTGGCTCGTTGGCTCACTCCAGTCGGACTACTCGGAGTCAAGCGTGAAAGTGGCTCATAGTAGGGACAGTAGGGACGACAAATCTCTCTCCGCAACCTAGCAAGCCTATAGACAAGGTAAGTGCCACACAACTGGCAAGTACTTGCAACCAACTTGTCGTATCTACTTTCCCTGTCTATAAGCTGCTTCAAATCCAAATTGCAATTTGAGGGAAGTATTGTGTGCTCGAGTCCTGTAGTGGTGTAAATGTGTTGTGTGGTGTTACAGAGGGAATGCATCTCGGTGCACATCGGCCAGGCGGGCGTGCAGATCGGCAACGCCTGCTGGGAGCTGTACTGCCTGGAGGGATTGTGTGCTGGGGTCCTGCAGTGGTGTTAATGTGTTGTTTGGTGTTACAGAGGGAATGCATCTCGGTGCACATCGGCCAGGCGGGCGTGCAGATCGGCAACGCCTGCTGGGAGCTGTGCTGTACTGCCTGGAGGGATTGTGTGCTGGGGTCCTGTAGTGGTGTTAATGTGTTGTGTGGTGTTACAGAGGGAATGCATCTCGGTGCACATCGGCCAGGCGGGCGTGCAGATCGGCAACGCCTGCTGGGAGCTGTACTGCCTGGAGCATGGCATACAACCTGACGGACAGATGCCGTCCGACAAGACGATCGGCGGCGGAGACGACAGCTTCAACACCTTTTTCAGTGAGACGGGGTCCGGCAAGCACGTCCCTCGGGCAGTCTTCGTCGACCTAGAGCCGACCGTAGTTGGTCAGTTTAACCATTTTACGTAGTATCTTTGACTGATAGTCAATGTAAGTATCCTAAGAACACTAGATGCAGCGTCCGCTGATGTTTTAAATTATGGGATTTTGCTTTAAATATGCTAAATTGAAGAATATACTGTACAATTTCAATTTAAGAAAATTGAGGTTAACTACAAATTAATTTGTTAATTAAGGAGTGCTTTCCATAAATAGATAATTAAGTGAAGTGAAAACACACAAGAATAAGAAACATACTCAAGTAAAATTTAAAGTGCACGAACTGCTTCTATGTAAATTGTTAAACACTGTATTGAAGCATACAAATTAAAAGTAATAAAATAACGTTGTATACTCGTATCTTATTAGGTCAAGTCAAACTCGCAAGGTCCTAATTTAGGCTATTAAAAGTTCTTGAAATTAAAAAATACTCCTGCTGCACACTCTTCTTGCGGTTTCAAATCATGTCCTCTTATAAATATTTAAAATTTCAATCGAGGGATAATGTTGCAAGGTTATGTTAGTATAAATTTGTAATATATAGCAATACTTCAAGAGCATACAAATTAATATGGATGTTTATGTAAGACGATTCTGGCAAATTATGTATAAATAACTTAACAATGTTTCTTATGTATTTTTGCGCTGAAATCGTCTAACTCCTCATGAATGGATGCATATCCCCGTTATATTGACTGAGAAGGAGCAGGTGAATTTTTTTTTTGTTGAATCGGTAACGTCATGCATAGAAAGATCGACGTCGGATAGTCTACAATGTTTGAGTAGCAAATGATTGCGAGGCACGCACTGAGCACGCGGCACAAACACACGCGTTACAACAGTTAATGCTCCCCATGTTGTGTGTCTATATATATGCTTCTCTCACTGTGCAAAAAAAGAGTAATATTATATTCTATATATATATTATATTCTGAGATTGTGTTTATATTCTGATGACAGATAGGCGATATTCTATGAGATTAATCCACACCAAATCGCAAAAATCTGTTCAGTCACTATAACTGATCTCCGGTTAGTTACCTTAATATGAATCAATCTGTTGTGCAAAGTTCTGTGAACTCGGTCCATAAATCAGTTGGTGTTGTGAATGAAGGTGTCAAATCACATAAAGGATCGCGAAATTGCGGGACCGAACAGCTGTCTTTCCTGTCCTGGTTACCAGCCTTGATAAAGAATTAGACTCGCATGATCTACCGATGTAGGCCTTCATCGACAATGTGACGTTGTTGCTTGGATTATTCGATTTTGCGATCTTGTTCGTCGTAAAAATTTGTTGTTTTTCAATTCAAAATCTGTTACAATAAGGGCTATTTTTTAATACAATACATAACGGTACACACCAGGTGAATCATAATGGAAGTGAATCATGCCTTCATTATCGCCCAGATTCGTATTAATTGTTATGATATTTATATGATATGCTTCTGTCTAACTAATATTGATAACTAATTCACATATATCATGTCAAATCCATTCCCAAACTAAAGTGTGACAACTAACCGATTCGCGGTTAACATTTATAAACTAATATTGTCGCACATTACAAATATGTTAAATCCTTCTTCCTGTAAGCATTACTATTGGAACTGTAATCTATAAATACGTGCAAATGTTGCTTCTTCATACACAGCAACCACATGTGGGGTGTTGTAGATGAGGTGCGGACAGGAACATATCGTCAGCTGTTTCACCCCGAGCAGCTGATCACTGGTAAGGAGGACGCGGCCAACAACTACGCGAGAGGCCACTACACCATCGGCAAGGAGATCGTGGACATCGTCCTGGACCGCATCCGCAAGTTGTCGGACCAATGCACGGGCCTACAGGGGTTCCTCGTGTTCCACTCCTTCGGAGGAGGGACTGGCTCTGGCTTCACATCCCTGCTGATGGAGCGACTTTCCGTCGACTACGGCAAGAAGAGCAAACTAGAGTTCTCCATCTACCCGGCCCCTCAGGTAAAATGATCGGAAACGAAGCCTAAAGTTTCTGAAAATGCCTGCCCATTACTCTTTCGGCGACTGTGATAGATCGTGATAAGAAATCTTAGCTCCACTTTCACGAAAATAAATACATGGCTCATGGCTTTTTAATTTATAGTGCATAGTGTAATATGCTAGCCAAAGATGCCACAAGGCCTTATGCATCGTCTTTATTTTGTAAAAAGGTATAAACTATAATTATTTTATTACTGTTCAGTGTTCAGCATACGTATGTAGATTTTTCGGACCAAGTCTTTGGCGTGAATTGCATTTTTTAATGTTCTTTCAAAAACTACGTTATGTAGTGATTGGCTCATCCTGTTGACAAAAACATGTATCCTTGTAAATCCGTGCGTGTATGCAATTCAAGATATTTTACATTTTTCAGGCTAAAAAGTAAACTTAAATAATACAGAATGCCCCGTGCAGTACCTAAATATTGACACTTGGATAGAGTGCTTAGCACAATTCCATTGTACACCTGCGACCTGCTACTTTCACCACCAAGTTACCTACTCAAAATGATTCTTCAACTCAGTGAATGAGAGGTAATAAAAAAAAACAACATGCACTGAAGAAATAAATATAACCTTAAGCACCCTTAAGTTAAGACATTATGAATTGACAGGTTTCCACTGCAGTGGTGGAACCCTACAACTCCATCCTGACCACTCACACCACCTTGGAACACTCGGACTGCGCCTTCATGGTAGACAACGAAGCCATCTACGACATCTGCAGACGTAACCTGGACATTGAGCGACCCACCTACACCAACCTCAACCGTCTCATAGGGCAGATAGTCTCATCCATTACAGCGTCTCTGCGCTTCGACGGCGCTCTCAATGTTGATCTCACAGAGTTCCAGGTTAGTAACTTGGCAGTAAATTTAAGACCTTAATTACATAATCAAGATTGTCACATCTAATGCTTATTAGAACTTCCCATCCTTTCCACAAGTAAAGGGTAGTCTTAGGCATACTCCATGGCGAGCTTTATAAGTTTCAAGTATCCTGGTTTACGTCATAAATCATGTACTGTAGTAACAGCGAGGGTTTGTCCAGTTGCATTTAAATCAGCATTTGAGTGGTTGCGCATGGACCCCTCAGCACCTTTTACCCTTCCAAGGTCACTAGTTTAGTTTTATCCAGATGAAATTCACTTTACACCTCTATTGGATCATCCTCTTTTGCGCCGTCCATGATACATCGGGCTACGTGAGAGCTCGGTTTATTTCTCAAAGTTATTTAGTCATTTGTGTCATCTGTGGCATTTGTGTCATTTGTGTCATCTGTGGCAACGTAATTCCGAGTTTTTATTTGATTTGTATTTTATGTAATTATGGTGGAATAAATCATTATTTCATTTCATTATTTCATTTCCTTGCATAATTTTAAGACATCTTGCTTACTAAAGACTTTATTTCTTACAGACCAACCTGGTCCCCTACCCCCGCATTCACTTCCCCCTGGCCACCTATGCACCCGTCATTTCTGCAGAGAAGGCCTACCACGAACAGATGACTGTCGCCGAGATCACTAATGCCTGCTTCGAGCCTGCCAACCAGATGGTCAAATGTGACCCACGTCACGGCAAATACATGGCCTGCTGCATGCTCTACAGGTAATGAACTAACTGCTGAAACACAGTGGAAAAACTTATCTTATAGAGGGTATTCTGAGACAGCAGTGAGCTATTAAAACTATCAAGGTGTTCCTACAATGTTAAGGTAAGCTGATTAGCCTTGATTTTGTTTGTTCATTGGTGTTTGATGTAGAACCCCAAACTGTAAAACCTTACATGATAACGATTTATTTATTCTATGCCGTGCATACTTTATATGTTTAAAAAAATACCTGCTTTTCATACATCTGATTAAGCTCCTATTGAAAGTGTTTATCGGAGTCCAAAATATCTTGAGCTGGCCACATACAGATTGGCCAATGGTTTAAGGGTCTTTTCTAACATACAGATTGACCAAAGGTCCTAATGAGCAGGGGCAAAAAATGGGGGAGGAGCTTACAGCAGCGATGTCCCGTGGGGGAGGAGCTTGTCTATTCAATCAAGTGTTTGTTAACTTTTTCTAATCTTACCAGTCACAGAGGTGGCCAAACTCAAGAGACGAATTTTACTTTTTAAAACACTAAGTTTTATGTAAACTGTTAATCAGAATTCATTGTCCTACTTCTGGATATTGCTTTATATTAATTAAATTGTTTTTTTGCCTTACAATATCCTTTTTAGTGTTGGTATCCTTTTTTATGTTGGTCGCCGCCGGCCCGACCAAAACGCGTGCACGCACCGTGACGGTACCAAAATAAATGTAATGAGTTTTTTTACGTGTGTTCTGTGTTTTATGTTTTAAATTGATGACGAATCTGAGAAGAGGATGGACCGGAGGACGTGGCAGTCGCCACGAAACATGTAGTTATGTACCAACACTAAAACGGATATTGTAAAAGTAACAAAACAATTTAATTAAACTGTTAAGTAAACAAATAAGGTTTTTACATTCAACTGTAGCTTAAACAAAACAGTGCGGTTTTCTAATACAAATAATCTAAAATCCAATCGTATGTTCGTTTGTCCTTTATGGACTCCGAAACCGCTCGACAGATTGCAATGAAACTTTCAGGTATTATTAAGCATTATTCAAGGATGGTTTGTGTGAAGTTTGGTGCAGATCCGTCAAAAGGGCTCCGCCCCAGTGGCTCTGGAGTTTCCCAATGTTAACCTTATGAGTACTCATATTTAAATGGAATTAAATAATCTCAACAGCTGGTTCAACTAAACAATTTGATTCTGTGATGTTCAATAGCATTAAAAAGTAAATAGGTTAACCAACAGGGTGCAGCACTATTTTTTTTTTAATTTATGACAACAGCTAATTTGCAACCATAAGGTGAGTGAGCGTAGCGAACGAACTTCAATCTGGAGGCGAGTTAGCGTAGCGAACGAGCTAACCTGAAGGCAAGTGAGCGCAGCGAACGAGCTCCAACCTAAAGGTGAGTGAGCGTAGCGAACGAATTTCAACCAGGACGTGATTGAGCCATGCGAACGAGCTCATCTTGAAAATGAACGAGCATTTGACACAAAACCACATTAGGACAGGACGACGTCTGTCGGGCCAGCTAGTAGGCTATAAAATCTAACTAATTGCTAATAAACTCACTATTAATTTTCTTTTTAAGTACACAAAGTATATTTTTTGGGAGGTCGAGTTGGCTACGAAATTGTTAGTTTGTTTGACCTAGTTATAGCAATAAGCATAATGTTACCATTTAAAAGTCCTGAAGTGTTCTTTCAAGATCCAAAGTATAAGCATTCTCGTTTTTATGTGTATACACATTGTTTGAAAATTACCTTGAATATCCACCCGTCTTAGTATTTCGCACACGATGTTCATTTTTAAGTTCACAAAACCAATCTAGCAATATTCATTATAGGAGTAGTATTTTAACAAAAGTTAAAAAAATGAAAAATATATTCCATTGGAAGTGAAATAACCCGAATATAATGTTCTACCACAGAATATAAAAATCTACTCACTTATTCAACATTTACGAAAACCAAAAATTAAAATTCTAAACTTCAAATAATTCTTAACATTTTGCCTTAAAATCCTGAAATAAATAATAATTTGTTATTAATATTATTCAGTCAGCTACATTTTCAGTTGCCGCTAAAAGAAAATAATAACTCCAAATTGGAGGTATTATTCCGTTTGTATGATATCCCGTGAAAGCATATAACCTCGTCATATTAGCTTTTAAAATTGAATAGTTTGTGCTGAATTCTGTTGTCAATAATCTGAACTTTTTCAAGTTTACAATGAATTTTTGTTTACATCAAAACATATGTCCATGGTACAATTTTGTTTACATCCATACGAAAATTGGGTTATCTGTAAGTCGGTGATGTTTAAGTTAAATAAAGAAAATGTTGTATTTTTTGTATAAAATGTAAAGAAGAAAATGGTTTACGTTAGATTTTGTGTTTTCATAGTATGTGTCATTAGTAGGCCTATTATCAATCTTTCTAGGTTGCCTTGAAGAGATCGCGCACGCAATGAAAATAATGGAGATATGATGAGACATCATGTTATCACCCTTAAAAACTACAATATATCGTAGTACTAATATTGTGAAATTTTGTGAATTTGTTCATTTGTTTGATATCCAATCACGCATTAACTACTGGTCGGATCGGGTTGAAATTTGGTATGAAGATAGCTCACATTCCCGATTAACATATCTAGACATATTCTTATCCCAAAAATCATTTCGGGCTCTGCCCCAATGGCTCCATAGTTTCCCATGTTAACCTTATGAGTATTCATATTTAAAATTAATTAAAAAATGTTGTCAGCTTTTTCAACTACACAAGTTGGTTCTACGATATTCAATAGCATTAAAGAGACCACCTCTGTATCTGGTAAGATTAGAAAACGTCAACAAACAGTTTACTTGAATAGACTAGCTCCTCCCCCACACACATCGCTGCTGAAAGCTCCTCCCCCATTTTTTGCCCCTGCTCATTAGGACCTTTGGTCAATCTGTATGTTAGAAAAGACCCTCGAACCGTTGGCCAATCTGTACGCGCGCCTTGAGGCCTGCCTTACTACACTTGACCTCTAAAGTGGTTCTTTGTTTAAGTAAATTTTTGGGGATGGTGAATTTATTTTATTTAAGAAACTATTGAGGACATTTGCCATGTCCGCAATTTGATTCTTACATACGTATTATGATGGTAAATATCCTCTATTATTACTTAAAAATTGTTTGATGTTTTTAAAGCAGTGGAAGATATACTTCTCTATCAAAAGTTCCATTTACAGAGGCATGGCAGGAAGTATACACATTGATATGACATTTATTACGTCTTAATAACAATACGAATTTACAAATACATACACATTATGCTACAAACTAGACTACAGTGACTTTCTTCTTCCTTTAGGGGTGACGTTGTGCCTAAGGATGTGAACGCTGCCATAGCACAGATCAAGACCAAGAGATCCATCCAGTTCGTAGACTGGTGTCCAACAGGTTTCAAGGTAGGGAAAAGTGTGACTGTGACAATGCTAGATTAGTCCCCCTTGAGTGTTCCAACCACGCGCGACACATACACGGACGAGGAGGAATGTTTTGACGCGGAGAAATTTAATCGATGAACGAACGATCTTCGCCGACGTTGGCTGCACCTGAAGCTGCTAGGTTCCGTTAGTTGTGATTGCTTCTTTTGTTGCCCATAAAACAAACACTAGATAGTATCTGAGCCTAATTGCGTTTTCTTCGGTACAGTCGTGGTTTGTAGTGCAGTAACGACAATCATAGAGATAATTCCGTCTGATTTTCGAAGTTTTTAATAGAACAGTATAAAGATTGTGCTTGATAATAGCTTATATTATTGTTGTTCATTACAACATAAAAGATACAGGTTATAGATTTACTGTTATTGCACCGTATCTTGATTAATGTGTAATCAAAGTGTATATGTATATTACAAAATATATTTGTATATTTTTACACTACTTGTTGTTTCTCATTCATATTAAATAAACAAAGATCGTTAGGAACGTTAAAATTATTAGGTTTCCTGAAACGATTGAGTTCGTTCTTATGATACAAATTAGTTAACTACCGCACATTTTTGTCCTTTTTGTGATTTTTGAAAAGGTATTCATATTGATGGTTGGGTATTAATGCTGCACTACGGGTACGTTTTCTGCGACTACGGTTGTTCAGTTTTATTTCGAGTTCTTTAAAGTGCGACGTAACCCTAGGGGTAGGTCCTATTCTATAAGATCCATGAGAGTAAGGAGTGGACTTAAATTAAACAACTTCTCTTTACAAAAGAGTCGATATTTTGTCTTGCCTACATTACAGCCTTACAGTTGCTTTATCATTTTATGTAGCAGTATCTTTTCAGCCATGGTGTCTAACGACTCAAGGAATTACGTTCAAGACAAATAACTATGCATTGCGATAATGCAAACCTTGTAGTTTGTTCATAAGCCCAGCAAATATCATTGCTCAGGGAGGCATCATAACCTCTCCCTGAATAGTTGATACAGAGTCATTCTAATCTTGCAGGTAGGTATCAACTACCAGCCACCCACAGTTGTGCCTGGCGGGGACCTAGCCAAGGTACAGCGAGCCGTCTGTATGTTGTCCAACACCACCGCTATAGCCGAGGCCTGGGCTCGCCTGGACCACAAGTTCGACCTGATGTACGCCAAGCGCGCCTTCGTCCACTGGTACGTCGGCGAGGGGATGGAGGAGGGAGAGTTCAGTGAAGCCCGCGAGGACTTGGCTGCTCTGGAGAAAGACTACGAGGAGGTAAACCCCCCTTTAACTCTGGACAGTTAAGAGGTCCTTAAGTGTTTAACCATTGACTCAAGGAATGTGCTGATGTCAAAAATTGATTTTCTCCATTCGTTTTTTTTAGTTTTAATTTTATTTATATACTCGATATGACAAAGAGATGCAGTTGTCTCCTCTCGGTGAGTCAGTAGCACCAGGGACTTCGGGCTCAAAGCTGCAATGCCGTGGGGTCTCATCTTAGTACAGTACTTTCCCCTACTTTTTATCAGTACAATTAGTTTACCTTCGTACTGTACCTCCTACTGCACTCCTTGGTTTGCTTGATATGTTCCACGGACATGCCTCTGTGGACGGACAAATGCAAGGTAAAGAGGCCGCAAACCTAACAAAACGTCCGTCAATAGGCAAAGTTATAGAATAATGTACATGCTCGTTGAACAACCTAACACGTTGGTTTATAATAATCGATAATATTGTCGAATATGGACATCTGCCAATGATTCACTGTCCCATATGTAGTTTCTGAGTTGTGTCTGTGTCTTCGTTTTAACCTAACCAAACATACCCCAATCCAATTAAAAATAACCTAATGATTAAATTGAGGATAATTATAACATTTCAACCCAAAAAACACTTTATGTTTGCAACTGTCTTGATTTATTTTTATTTTAATGAAATGATGATGAAAGTTTGTGTATTTATATATTTCCCACGGATTATGCCTACACCAATTATACTTGAAAAGTATTAAAGAACTACATAGGCCTACACCAATTATACATGAAAAGTATTAAAGAACTACATATCAATCCATTACAATAGATCAATACTAGTTATTATTGAAGGTATCAATACTACGTAGGGTATTCAAAAGGTGAATTTGTATATCAGAAGATGTCTATTATAACTCCACTAATAGGCAAATTATCACTGAATACTATTTTTATTAAACGTGCTGACCATTTATAGATGGTATTAACGACTTTACATACGTAATTGAAGAACGTTCTCACCTTTTCTCAGCAGGTAGTTTTTAAAAGTTAGACGTTAGAGCATGTTTCAGAAGTTGAAACAATGTGGGAAATTTATTTAGCCTAAAAATGTTCTATTCTATTTCGACAGGGACCGGTAAACAATTAAACTCTATACGCTCTAATTGAACTAGCTCCCTTTGAAACCCCGATTAGTTTTAAATTTAAAAAGGAAATTACCAAAACTTAATTAGTTTCCTGATAAGAGGGTGTTTTATTTTATCAAGGGCCACAGGGCCCAGCTAGTTGGAACATAAAATATAAATCTCAGTTAAATTTAGCTAATAAAAAAAACAAAACCACGGTTAGAACATGTGACTTATGTACTGAAAGTTGGATTCAAATCCCGACTGCAGTATAAAATAAAAGCAATATTGGTCTAATTGGTCATGTATAATTTGTTTCACCCTGTGGTTCATAGCCCACTTTAAGCAATAGGTTCGCCAATTGAGTAAATAACGGTAAGGGGAACTGGGTTCGAATAGTTTTGGATCATTTATTTAATTAACCTCTTCTGTCGACAGGTCGGCGTGGACTCTACTGAGGGCGAAGTAGAAGATGGCGACGAATACTAAACTTCAACGTTCACTTGGAATAGAAAACTGCATTAACTATAAGTATTAGCCGAGCTTAATAAACAATGACCGTTCATTATGGTGACACAAGGACGAGTTATGTACTATATAATTTAAGATAACCTTACTTTACGTTTAAGTGATTGTAAATAAAAAGAATGATCATGACAATCTTTATCCGGTCACTCCCTAGAGTAGTTTGGAAACCCTTAAGACTTTAATATTTATATCGATTTAATACGTTTAAAATGTGTTCTAGGAAAGTCACCTAAAGTAAATATTTACTACCTAATTAATGTTTAATTAAACTTTGTACTTTAATTTGAAGAATAATTAATTCGTAATTGAAATAAACGTTGCTAACGTAGATAATCAATATATAATACTAGTGTAAACCAAAACAAAACCTTTAATATTCCTATTAATTAATTTAAAATGTGACTTTGACTAGAATATAAGTTGTTGTCTGTGAATGTCTAATGTTGTAATATTGTAAGACAATTTTTATATCAGCAAACACCAAATGTTACAGATGGATTTTAAAACATGAGTTTTATGTAGTTGTCGCTTTGTTGTGATCTAAGTTGTTATCTAAGTTGTTATCTCTTAAGGACTAATTACTTATTAACTTTCGGTTTCGTTACAACGAATGTTATTATTAGTTATTTATTTGCTGCACTGATAAAGCGTAGTGTGATAGGGTACTCTACAACAAGCGTGTTCGTCAGCACTAAGATATATGTTGAAGAGCTACTGTTGCCTTATAATACTATACTGCCTTAATAAATGTTAAGAAATACTATACGGTATGTATATTTTATTTTCCTCGTTTTGTTTTTCACTTTCTCATATACATGGAGAAAGTATTGTTTCGTCAAAATTTTCGAGTTTGAGTTTTGAGTGTATATAACAGTTATATCAGTTTTTATATCAGTTTTGGGATCCACTGAAGCAATGTGTGTGTGTGTGTGGGTGTGTGTGTGTGTGTGGGTGTGTGTGTGTGTGTGTGTGTGTGTGTGTGTATCTTTTACGAGGTTTAAACTGGCGACCTTTAAAGGTTATGCCAACCTTGCAAAACCTCAGTTTAGTCCTGTTCAACACAAAATAGTAAACGTGGTTTTAATTTGTTCCTCTGTTGGTCCTTAACAGTTAAGTTCGTTAAAAATTGCTTCAGAAGCTAATAGGGCAATGTTTGCCTATAAGATATCTAGCTAGACGAACAAATTTTTAGTAAAATATGAATGTTATTACACTAAATTAATAACTTAAACAAACTACCTTATTTTTACATGAAAACATATACAATTTTAGAGAGTATGTCGGTATTCTCAGTTCCATAGTACTGATGGTTACTAATACGTTTCCTGTTGTGCATCAAGCTGAATAAACTTGTTAACCTGTTGGGCTGAGAACGCTGTGTGAGTGTGACAATCATTAAACCCTGCTTAAAATGAAATCAAAACATAGAAAATATTAAACACATTATGATTATACAGTGTGTAAATTAGGTCTTGAAACAAATCTGTATTTTTAAAACCAAAATAGATAGAAATATTCTGTTTGTGGCATTGATTCTTAACAAAGGTCCGCTAATTTTTACACCAAAATAATTGTTTAACCTGACTAATAGGGTACGGGGTAGGGGGTGACTATTTTTTTTTTCATATAGCAACCCCTATTAAGTGACCTCTAATTTTTAAAGTACTATTCAAAAGAAACACAATGACGCAAACCCGAGGTAAATATCTCACCCCTAGCCAAAATGGCAGGTATTTCAAAATTTGATTTACTGTATGTAAAAGATCACCAATTTCACAAATATGGAAACAAATCTGTATTTTAAAAACCAAAATAGATAAAAATATTCTGTTTATGGAATTGATTGTTAATATAGGTTCCGCAATTGTTTCAACAATATGTTTTACCCCTTTAACAGGGTAAGGGGTGGGGGTGATTTATTTTAATTAATAACAACCCCTATTGAGTGACCGCTCATTTTGAAGGGTTTGTCAAAAGAAACACAATGAAGCAAACCCAAGGTAAATATCTCACCTCTGTCCAAAATTGGTGCTTTTTCGCATATATCAAATTTTGGAATACAAACCATTTAGGCTAGGGATAAAATATCTACCTCGGGTTTGCGTTATTGTCTTTATTTTGACAAACCCTTCAAAATGAGGGGTCACTCAATAGGGGTTGTTATTAATTAAAATAAATCACCCCCACCCACTACCCTGTTAAAGGGGTAAAAAATATTGTTGATGTAAACAATTGCGGAACCTATATTAACAATCAATTCCATAAACAGAACATTTTGATCTATTTCGGTTTTTAAAATACAGATTTGTTTCCATATTTGTGAAATTGGTGATCTTTTACATACAGTAAATCAAATTTTGAAATACCTGCCATTTTGTCTAGGGGGCTAGGGGTGAGATATCCACCTCAAGTTTGCATCATTGTGTCCCTTTTGACAAATCATTCAAAATGAGGTAAGGAGTCACTGAATAGGGGTTGCTATTTGAAAAAAATAAGTCACCCCCTACTTAGGGTTTTTTTTAGGGGGGTTAAAAATTTTTGTTATGTAAATAATTACGGAAACGTTGTTAACAATTAACGCCACAAACAGAATATTTTTATCTGTTGCTGTTCAACAAATACAGATTTGTTTTAAGACTTAATTTACACACTGTATACACAACCTCCGTAAATGGCAATATGACCTGAAATTAATAGTGGTAGATGGGAGTCTCGTCCCTCCCGCACCTAAGGCTAGCAACACACAATGTTGCCTCATATTCTAAACTAGCCGCAATATCCGTGCTTCGCAACGAGAAGAGAACGCTAAAGAATCATTATATTCTATAGATCTGCTGCATGAAAAGTTATTAACTCGTAATAATAAGGTCCACAATTTTGGTAACGCGCCGTCAAAATCATTTTTAATTAAGTGGTTTATATCAATTTGGCATTTCTAATATTGATTTTATTAATAATAATGGCATAGAAAAATTGCAAGACGACAGGGCACACCCGTAGAAGAGTAAAAATACCCCCGCCACAGCAAACCTACAGACTAAGCGAATTTCCTTTTGCTTGATTAGATTTACACTATAAAATATCTCATTAAAAATATCTCAAAATTATTTCCTATTTAAATAGCATTATTTTAACGAGTACTTAGGTTTGCTGCAACACGGAGGTGTAACGGTAGGTATTTCACAATGGAGGTACCCACTGTCACTTTGGGTGACGTAGCTCAGGAATGAAGCTCAGCACTCGCTTACAAAATCCAACGTTATTAATTTCTCAAAACAACACAAAGAACAATAACCAACAAAAAGGCAGGGAACTGTACAAATCATTTAGTTAGAAACTGAAACCCCAATTTGGAAAAGACTCTAAGCCCCAAATTTGGAAAACCCTTAACATTGGGCTCCATCTCCCCCAGCAGAAGGACCCTGTCCTCTGGTGCACCACACTCACCACTCACACGAAAACTGAGCCCCTGATCAAATGCACTCCACCCTACTCACACAGCATTGCCAAACCCTTCCTGCTTACAATGTTTGACCCCTTCCCTTTAAAAGTGTTTTATTGTGAAATGTTATTACAGTATTTAGTTTAGTATAAAATAAATGTATTTTCCAAATTTGATCAGAATATGTTTATAAACAAGCAAACTACAACCGTTATTTATTCTCCAAAAGAAGAACATAGGGATTTTAAATTTAATTGTTTTTAAATTTTCTCCGTAACCATTAGGCGCACAATAATGCTTTAATATACTAAATAGTTTTTCAAGCTCAACAAAATGTTTTGGAATGGAATTGCAAAATTTTATGTTTTTATGGTAAAAAATAACCACTTTTTACCCCATAAACCCCATCGGATAATTTTTGCTCGAGTTATCATGCTAACGGACACATATATATGAATTTGAACGGACGGTGTTTTTGGCCTCTAGGGACCTCAAAACAAATAAGTAAATCGGCCCCGGGTCCAGGTTTTACCATGAGTACTATGGTAATAGCTTATTCCCTGATATGGGAAATTCGCTATAAAATTATGTACATTAAGCATGTGGTATGTTGGTTCTATTCATCGAAAAACATCTGCACAATTGGTCAAGTAGTTTTCACGTTATTCACATACCTACTCCAAACTTTCACATCTATAATATTAGTTATTTCCATCCAAGTCAGTGACTTGATCAGTAATTCACTAATAGCTATTAACATTACAAGTGTAGTAAGAGCGTTTTTACATCACGCAGGTGAATGTTGTGCAACTAGCTGTATAGGGGCGATGTCTACTTGTACCGGCGTCTAGTTCTACCTGGTGCATTTTTGTGACAGGCGTCTAGTTGTACCTCGTCCAAAGCTGTAGGTACAACTTGACGATGGTGCGGACGTCTAGTTGTACCTACGACTAGTTGTCTCTACGTCTAGTTGTACCTCTTAAAAATCTACAGGTACAACTAGTCGGGTACGCCACCGTCTACTTGTACCTCATACGTCTGCGTCTACTTGTACCTACGACTACTTGTACCTACGACTACTTGTACCTACGACTACTTGTACCTACGACTAGTTGTACCTACGCCTACTTGTACCTACGTCTAGTTGTACCTACGGCTAGTTGTATCTCCCCTTCAACTTGTCACCAGTTTAAGGGATTAATTTTATTTCTTTAAAAATCATACAATCTTACAACAATTTTTTATAAACAACTTGCTACAAAAGCCAGGAAAATTTGGCTTGTCTGCAGCTCATTGAGAAACCCCTGTTCTTGATAACAATGTACTTGTGTCCCTTGGTCAGTCCTTATCCATATTACACTTTGGTTTTCCTTATTTCTTGTCAAGATCTGCTATCATTGTTTTTTCCACTAAAACTCTACCTTTCTATAGAAAACTAACATTAACTAGCTTAAACAACAACTTTAAACAATTATCTTAAATAAATAAATTCAGAGTTTACAAAAACAAGTTATTGAGTATAATGAAGTGTTTTTGTATGGTATTAGTCACGAAGATAAAATCGACCCGTCGTACGATTGCTATTTTTCACTAAACTATACAAAACGGAGAAAATATATCCTACTAATATTATAAATGAGAAAGTTTGGACGTATGGATGGATGGATGTATGTTTGTGACAAGTAAACTCGAAAAATACTCGTCGGATTGGGCTGAAATTTGGTATGAAGATAGCTCACATTCCCGATTAACATATAGACGCATTCTTAAAGTCCTTTCGGGCTCCGCCCCAGTGGCTCTGGAGTTTCCCATGTTAACCTTATGAGTAATCGTATTTAAAAGGAATAAAAGAATTTGGTCAGCTGTTTCAACTACACAAGTTGGTTCTATGATATTGAATAGCATTAAAAAGTTATAAGATTTACCAACAGGGTGCAGTACTATTATTTTTTTACATTTATGACAACAGCTATCCTATTAACGGCGATAAAGGCATAATTTTGTTTTTAAAAGGCTTATGTGTAACTATTTTATCAACAGATGTAAATATCAAAATGTTTCTATTTCGTGTTCTCTTCCCGTTACAAAGCACGGGTACAACAGCTAGTCAATAATATAGGCAAGCATGTTTCTTTACATACTTTTTATCAGATCGTGAACATCACAGAGAAAATATCCGCATATCGGTGGAAATGTATTTTCCTGTCGATCTACAGAATGCCTTTATAAATTAAAATAGGCTAAAAAGACATAAACAAAAATTACAAATTTTTAAAAACTAACATGGGTTTAACGGGTTGTTTAACATAGGTAACGAAATA